TGATTAATTTCTGAAATTATTCACCTGATTATTCTCTGGAGTTCATATACCGGAAACCGCTAGAGAACGCTGGGGGTCCCACTGAAGAGCCGAACCCCTCGCAGCTGTGTCACGCAGCGGCAGAATATCGGCGAAACACGTGTCTGGGCTTTTAGCAAGTATCTAGGTCGGGAGTACGGTATACTACCATTACCATATGGAATTCATACTACTCGTAGTACTACTTGTTTGTAGAATGGGCATTACGTGGTTATTCCACAGTAGTTGATTGTCTTCGACTCAAATGTTCATTGAAATTTCGGTTCTGACCCTAAAAAGTCATGTCCCGGAGATTTAACTCCAAGTTCTGCACTGATTAATTTCCGAAATTATTCACCTGATTATTCTCTGGAGTTCATATACCGGAAACCGCTAGAGAACGCTGGGGGTCCCACTGAAGAGCCGAACCCCTCGCAGCTGTGTCACGCAGCGGCAGAATATCGGCGAAACACGTGTCTGGGCTTTTAGCAAGTATCTAGGTCGGGAGTACGGTATACTACCATTACCATATGGAATTCATACTACTCGTAGTACTACTTGTTTGTAGAATGGGCATTACGTGGTTATTCCACAGTAGTTGATTGTCTTCGACTCAAATGTTCATTGAAATTTCGGTTCTGACCCTAAAAAGTCATGTCCCGGAGATTTAACTCCAAGTTCTGCACTGATTAATTTCTGAAATTATTCACCTGATATATATATATATATATATATATGTGCAAAAAAGAAGGCTCTTCGGAAAATCGAGTTGTACTCGTAAATTTTCAAGTCAGTGACACCGACCCGTCGCCAGACGAAATGAACAGAGGGGAAAGTGAAATCGGCAGACTAGGTCGGCTGGCGCGACAGGACAGACAACGACAAACAGACAGCTGATGCGTGAGAGGGTGGCACTGAGTTATGGTAGGCTGTGGGGCAGGGGGAGGGAAGGAAGAACCGTTAGGGCTCCATGTGTTAGAGATGGAGAAATCGCGGGGGGATTGCGGATCAGTGGGAATGCGGGCGGCTGGTAACTGATGCGGGATGAGGTCAGGGGGCAATGCGCCGGCGTTGGAGGTGTTAGGGGTTTTCGGTTGTTGTTCACCGTGTCGCAAGGGGGGGGGCGGAAAGACGAAACAGCATGCGTCTATGTGGCCGAGTGGGAGTTTGCAGTTGTTAGGGTGTGGGAACAAGACAGTGAGCGTGTACGTAAGCCCTCGCAGTGAACGTCTAGATCGACGTGGCGGTTGATGCTAGTCGTGCCAGAATGCCAACCTTCCCACGCATCAGCTGTCTGTTTTTCGTTGTCTGTCCTGTCGCGCCAGCTGACCTAGTCTGCCGATTTCACTTTCCCCTCTGTTCCTTTCGTCTGACGACGGGTCGGTGTCACTGACTTGAAAATTTACGAGTACAACTCGATTTTCCGAAGAGCCTTCTTTATTTCATGATATCACCTCGGAATGCAACCCACATTAGTTATTCCTATATATATATAGCACGGTATAATACGCTTGTCATATATACATATATGGGTATATCGATTGACAGAAGTTACTATATCGACTGAAGGTAACTGTTCTATGAGCTACGAGACAGATATTGGGCGGAACTCACTTTAAAGTGGGAAAAAATAGAAGACTATTTTATCACTCTTAGCCAGCGGGCATTTACGATCAAGCACTCCGACTCCGTGAAAATAAACTTGAGACAACATTTTATGTGTATGACCAAGAATTGAACGCTTGTTCTTGTTATTCCCGTCAAAATGTCCCTCAAGTTTAAATCGTGACTCTGACTCCACTCCTACTTAAAAACTACCCTCCCTGAATCGGGGCAGTTTAAACTGAAAGCAGATAAGCTTGAGGGAGACCGAACTTCCATCCGAAATTTTGGTGGCACCATCAGTTGTAGCTTCTGCCAATGCTGCTCTGCACACAATCTCGACATCGAGTGGAGCGTTAATGACCAAACGATTTTCACTGCACTCCGTGAACTATCTACCTGCAATCTAATAGACTACTAATCAAATTAATTATTCTGACAATTTTCAAGCACTACGCCGCCGATTAGTGGAAAACCTACTCAAGCATGTCATTTCAGTTGATGTCGTTTTCGATCCAGAAGGAAGAAATAGCAGGTAAAATGCTGTGTTATTGGCTTTTTTATTTCAAAATGAACAGAATTTTTCTGACACCGGTTAGAAACGCCTTCGAAACTCATATTTTTAAACCGCCGAAAATGGAGGGTTTTGGATGCACTTATGATGCTGCTGGAAATGATGGTAGACCAGCGTAAAGTTTGCCAAAGGGAGGCATTTAGGACAGAATCCAGGTTCACATCGGAAATAGACTGTCGTCTTCCGAAAAGATTTTCCAGACCGGATGTGAGAGGTCGCTTGACAGCGATGGGTCAAACTTCTTTAACGCATGAATTTCCTTTTTACCTTTCAGAATAATAAAAAGAAAGGGTAGCTGAAGTTTTCCTGGAGGCTGCATAAAAATGTAGGCCTTGCTTTAGAATCTGAAGTAGTTAAAGTATTGAATTGCAAAACGTAGGTCACGGTGAAATACGTGGAGACTTTGTGGGGTTTAAAACCTTCTACGGGGATTTAATTACGAATTTGTACCCATAATCTATGACGACACCTGGCCACTACAATAAGAACCACCCCGTTTAGTTCAAT